ATTTTTCTGAAGAAGGGTCTAGGCCCGAAGCGTCAGCCTTCCTGCTCCTCTGGTGCTGCTTGGCCTGCTGTGTTCATCCAGCTCTGCACCTTGTTATCTCTGACTACTAATACTACTTTTTTCTGAAGAAGGGTCTAGGCCTGAAACGTCAGCTTTCCTGCTCCTCTGATGCTGCTTGGCCTGCTGTGTTCATCCAACTCTGCACCTTGTTATCTCGACTACTAATAGGAGCTGGACCTGCTGTCCTCAATCACAGCGAAAATACAGCCACCAGCGCAGCTGGGTGCAGGGCAAGTTCTGTGAAAAGGTGGACTTGACACTCTGGGACTTGCAGGAAAAATAATTAATTAAAAAGAAAATGCTTTAACACTCATTCCTCACACTCCTAACACCCCTCAGTTCCCTACATATTCCCTATGTCACATTCGCGCCAATCCACACCAACTGAGGCTAAACTCCTGCCCCTCTATGCTCTTAATGTAAACCTATATGCCTCTGTGTTGATTTCCAATGGTTTTTTATCGTCCCTTTGCCAACCTAGTGCCTTCTCATTACAATCCATGTCTCCTGTCCTTTCCATCCAACACCCTTGCACTTTACATTCAAAGTAGCTGCCATAAGAGACCTCAGGACACGTACTGAGATGAAATAATATAAATTTCTAATTTCTATTAGTGACTTTATTATTTTTAAAAAGCTTTCATTGATTAAAAACGTATTCACTACATTGAAATTCCTTCAATTATTTAATGCCTTATAAAACAAATATTAAAATGTCCACATCAAAGTCTTTCTAATCATCTGAAACTGTCAGACTATGAAATGACAGGTATCCACTGTGTTAATGATAGTTTGTCAAATTAGTCTCACAGTGCAAATCTTACAATAATACCCCTCAGACAACAAATTGAAATAGCAAAGACTGATTATTTTTAAACTACAGACTGTACTATTAATTGAAAGGGTAGTATATTTAAATGCACTGACAGATTGACAGTTGCAAGTGGATTTAAATGCCTTAATGGCTTCACAGTTGAGGTCTACACACAGTCATTACATGTTCATAATTTTAACAATTCAAACAGTTCTCCTCTTCTAAAGGTCATGTTAGTTCTCCAAAAGGGCACCTTACTTCTGCACCTATTCAAACAAATACCTAACTCTCCAAAGAGATTCGGTAAGTATAGACCTTCTCCTGGAAGGTATAAAGATCTTTTGTCATATTTTGGATTGACCACTAATGAAAATTGGATCTGTTTGAATGCAGTTGCATTTTTACAAATGCAAAAGCCTTCAAGAAGCCTAAAACTTTCCTTTTCTCCCCACATCCCAGAGAAAATGGTGGATACCTGGTTGAGGATTGATACTTTTGGAATCGGGCTTCCAAGCCGTTTTGATGAAGCTTGGACCCTCTCCACTTCTGTGAAAATTCAGGCCCAAGTAAGCCAGAGAGGCAGACAGCCAAACAGACAAAGGCAGGAAGGCAGAGGCTGCCAAGAGAGAAGCTGAGTGACAGACTGAATGTCATTAAAGGAATTTCTTTGCAAACATTTGGCTTTTAGTTACAAAAATATCTGAGATGGGAGAAAAGGCCGTGTGACATTCAAGAATCACCCAGTCCAGTCAAGTAAGGAAGAGCCTGTCCTCTTCCCTAGTGGCTGTGGGAAGGTGGTGCCTGTGAGGATTGATATATTCAGCCACCAATAGGAGAGGTAGGAGGAGTGGGCAGTATAGTTGGAAGCAGGACATCATACAACAAAACCTCCAGGAATACATCCAACAGAGCTGGCAACCCTATGCGTTACCCATGCAGATGTAGTACTCACTGTATTAGGCAAAACACAAAAGGATTTTAAAAATATTTTACTTACCGTCGGATGAATTCAGGCCAGTCAAGTTTTTTGACCCTCTACACTGCTCAGCCTTACCTGTGCTTGGCTGTGCTTGGTAAATTGCTACATGGCCGTACACAGTAGTGAATCCGGGGTTAATATATCTGAAGGCGATGCGAAACAAATTGAGGTTTCTATTCTCCACATGCACTGTTACCCTCACGTTATTCTGTAAAAGTGAAGTTAATGAACACATGACTGGTAGGGTGATCTAGAAGCAGAGTTAGCGGCAGTGCTTGTCAAGGAAGCTCATGCAGAATGAAAACCAGGAGATGCTTCAAGGTCAAAGAGTGTCACCTCATTTAAATAAATAAGGGTAGGAAGTTGTTATGGTAGTTTTTGGGAAAAATGGTGCATAAACGAGGTGCAGAAATGAAAGCCACTTACAGTTACAGCAAGAATCAACATTTACTTCCTCAGTGATTGAGATCCTTCCTCTAACAGGCTTTGGGGTACGGTTCTTGTACCGGAAGATTATGCGAAACAGATTAGGAGAAGTCACAGTGATAGACATGACCACCTCTGGCTGGGAAGAAAAACGCAGTCAAAGGAGCATAAAGGAAAATGCAAACACCACCAATAGTAGAAGAATCACCCCAAGCAGCACTTGCATGCCATAAAGCAAGCAATGGTGTTTGAATCTGTACCCCAAAACTACAGCAAGTTAGCAGAGATATCTAGCAGAAAAAAAAATTAAAAGCACCGTCAATGGTTATATTATAATATTACATAGGACTACTCCACTTTAACTTTCAAGCAGTGAACTCACTATAGTGTGAAAGGTTGAATTCACATAATGTACCATTTACATATGCCTTATTTATAAGAATCATTACTATATTCTTGTGGAGTCTGGCGTGAATATCCAATATATCTTATTTCAGGGTGCTTATTTTGGTACTAACTGTTCAGCAGAAAATGAAACAAACTGACACTGGCAAATTTCCATCTTCTGCTGAGCTTAAAGGATTAAATCATAAGGACAAGTTATGGTAGTCTTGTATTCCCTAGAGTATCAAAATTTGCTGATGACAAAGTTAGTGGCATTGTAGACAGTGTAAATGATAGCATAACATTACAAAGGGATATTGATAGACTAAGCGATTAGGCAAAACTGTTGCAGAGGGAGATCAATGTAAGCAAGTGTGGGGTTATGAGAAAGGATAGATCAGGCTACTTTCTAGATGGCATGAAGTTAAATACAGTGGATGTCTAAAAAGACTGGGGGTTCAGGTGCATAGATCATTATAATGCCATGAACTGATGCAGAAAATAATCAAGAAAGCTAATGCAATGCTAGTCTTTATATCTTGAGGACAGGAGTATAAGGACAGAGAAGTTAAGCTGCAGCTTTAGAAAACCTGGTTAGATGCCACTTGGAGTACTTTGAGCAGATCTGGGCACCACATCTTAGGAAGAATATATTAGCCTTAGAAGGAATATAAGAATGATACCTGGATTTCAGGGATTAAGTTAAGAGGCGAGATTATACAAATTAGGCCAGTTTTCTCTAGAATTAAGAATGTTAAGCGGTGATCTAGATCAAAGTCTTCAAGATAGTAACAGAAAGAGACAGGGCAGATAAAGGTAAACTATTTTCACTGGTTGGGAATTCTAGAACTAGGGGCATTGTCTAAAAAATTAGGGCCAGACCATTCAGGAAAGATGTTAGAAAACACTTTTACACACAAAGGGTGATAAATGTTTGGAACTCTCCTTCACAAATGGCAGTTGATACTAGATAAGTTTTTAACTTTAAATCTGAGATGGATAACTTTTTGTTAAACAAAGATATTAAGAGATATGGACCAAAGGCCATGATCTCATTGAATGGCAGAACAAAATCAAGGGCCTGAATAGGCTACTCCTGTTCCTATGTAATCTGGTTGAAGTGTTGAAAACAATTAAAGGAGTTAATAGGTTAGATAAAGTGAAATCATTTCCTCTGGTCAGGGGAGAACCACAAAACTAAACTCAGGCGAAATGAGAAGAACTTCCGGATACAAAGAATAGTGGAAATCTGGAACACTCTCCGCCAAAAAGCTACTGTGTTTGGGAACCAACTATAACATGAGATTTATAGTTATTTGTTAGTTAAGGGTATTGAGGGTTATGGAATCAAGGAGGGTAGTTGGAATTAAGATAGACAGTAGCCATAAACTAAATGGTGAAACAAGCACAACGTGCTAAATTGCCTCTTCGTCTTTCTCTATCCCAATGTTTACTCATCTTAACTTCGGAGGAGGACCTAAGAAAGTTAAGGAGTTGGAAGAACTCCCATGGAAATTCAACCCAAAGATGTCTGTTTGTAGGGTAACTCTCAAGCAATAATTTCCAACTGGCACATTAGGGAGGAACCCTAATATTGGAGAAACAGTCTTATAAAGGAAGAGACAGGAAGGTAAAGGGAACATAGGAGTATATAAAACATGAACAGGAGGCAAGCACAAGGCCCCCTCCAGTCTGCAGTGTTATTCACTAAGATCATGTTTGAGATGATCTTAGTCTCAACTTCACTTTCCTGTCTATTCCCCATAACTTTAGACTTCCTTATAGCAGACTCTAAGTACAGACTCATCAGGGACCTGTACAGTTGTAGAAATACTTCACTACCTTAAATCCCATCCATCTTACAATGAAAGCAAACAGAAAGCGAAAGAGAAAAAGGGCAGTCAGCAGCATTAACAGAAAGTCTGCTCCGTATCTGAGAATAAACTGAGGCAAATAGCCAAATTATTTGGAACAATTATAAGTTTTTATAACAAAAGTCTCCAAAACCAATATCACAAAAAGAAGTATGGGCAAAATTTCACAGACTCCAGTGGCAGGTTTGTAGGCGGACAGGCGGATAAAATTTCCCTAGATTGTCTTCCTGCTACTCTCCCACCTGCCCTGACCTGTCCGCAATTTTACAGGGGTTATGTGAATCCTTGTGCTCCCTGGATCACTCTCGCTCCAATTGAGGTCTTAAAGTGTTTCCACTGCCGAGTGAAACTAGAACGAGGGGGCATAGCCTCAAAATAAGGGGGAGCAGGTTTAGGACTGAGTTGAGGAGGAATTCTTCATCCAAGGGGTTGTGAATCTGTGGAATTCCCTGGCCGGTAAAGCAGTTGAGGCTACCTTGTTGAATGATTTTAAGGCAAAGATAGATTTTTGAACAGTAAAGGAATTACGGCTTATGGTGAGGGGGTGGGCAAGTGAAGCTGAGTCCACAAAAAGATCAGCCATGATCTTATTGAATGGCGGAGCAGGCTCGAGAGGCCGGATGGCCTACTCCTGCTCCTATTTCTTATGTTCAATTATTGTCCTTAATTTGAGACTGATGAGAGGAGTTCAGGGGCAAAGGGACAGCTTGGCACGTCACCCTAATTGTGCCCCTGGCAGAAAGGCACAGGGCGGTGCTTTCTTTACAGCTCCGATATTGAGTACCAGATCCCAGGATCTGCTTCCTTGGTGGTCACTTCCACCCACAACTCTTTATCGAGTTTGCTCTCCCCCACCCTCTCCCCAAACCCCCACTGTCTGGGCCTTTCCTTCCCTCCCCATATTTTTGGCTCCAGACATTAGAATTTAGAATCTGGGAACTTCCTATAGCACCAGCCTTGGCCACGCTGCTTGTGTTGCTGGGATGGCAAAGCTGCTAGTCAATCAGAATGGCCAGCATTATTAGGAGCCAAGAAAGTACAATCTGAGAGAGGGCTGGCTGTTCTGTCTCCTTGGAGTGTGAGATGGCTGTGGGGCTGCTGTGATCTGCAGGGACACGCCCCTCACCGACTCTTCTCAGGTGGTAGGCTAGGGAACAATGTAATCTGAAAAATCCTACCCTTTATAATTCAAAAAAACAATTTGTTGTGGGAAAAAGGAGTAACTACCTATACTAACGTAACATTAAAAAAACACTGCTTTATGACCCAAACAGGGCAAGATCTCCAATTCACTCTATGGAAAGTTTTAGATCAGATTTAGGGGAGGTGATGATCCGGTGGTTTTATCACTAGTCTATTAATCCAGAGACCTCGATAATGTCCTGGGGACCTAGGTTCAAATCCCAGCATGGCAGATGGTGGAATATGAATTTAGTAAAAGAAAGACCTGGAGTTAAAAGTCTAATGATGATTGTGAAACCATTGTCAGAAAAACCCATCTGATTCACTAATGTCCTTTAGGGAAGGAAACTGCCATCCTTACCTGGTCTGGCCTACATGTGACTCCAGACCCACAGCAATGTGGTTGACTCTTAAACTGCCCTGTGGGCACTTAGGGATGGGTAATAAACACTGGCCCAGCCAGTGACACCCTCATCCCATGAACAAAAACAAATAATTTTACAGATTTCTGAATGCGATTCTGGGATATAACAGGATGTCATTGTGCTTGATTTTGTATATTTGTGGAACTTCACGAAAACTGGGCCAGTTACACTCCTACAAAACTGAACTTTGCGACTGTCATGAAAATTAAATCCACAGATCCCATTAATCCCATTAATAAATCTACCATCATGCAACATGCTGGGTACAAACTGAATACATCCCTAAACTCCCTCATATTTAGAACATTTAGTCCATCATTTTCTTAAATTATCTTTTAAATTTTATGAATTACAACAGGTTTTATTTATTAAATGTTAGAAAGATATGTTTATAATTATCTTTTTGGACTGAACCCTGCAGCACTCTTGCTCCATTTGCGGTCCTGAAGTGGCCAATTATTGTCCTCAATGACTGTTTAATTTCTTTAAATGGGCAAAAAAAATGCAAAGATTGCAAAATGACATACAAAATGGTATCAAAAAGATTCTGAACCAATTCCAGCAGATTTGAGAAGGTTAGATACCTGCCACCAGACATGCATTTCATCAGAACATTTGATCACATACTTGCACAGGTGACATTTGCGCATAGCCTCTCCAACTGAAGTTCAGGAACTCCTGTGGATCAAATCCAAACCGAACAGCTCTTCCATTGGGTGTGGTGCCATCTTCAATTTCATACTTCAAGTGGTGAAGATCTGGGAAATAGTGGTTGCGGCGTGGCCTTCAAGTACAGGTTAGATATATTTAGTGTCAGTGCAAATGGTGTAGTCATGTAAAAATTACATTGAATTGAATAATATTGCTCCATAAAGAAAGAACATGCAATTATCTAGCACCTTTCACAAATACAGCACGCCCAAAAGCACTTTACAGCCAAATGAAGTGTAATCAGTGGTGTAATGTAAGAAATGCAGGGATTACTTCAGGTACAACAAAGACCAGGGGAACAGGAAGTTTCAACAAGTCACAGGACAGCAGCTCTTCATTGATTGACAGCATGACCAGGGAAACAGTGGGTGCTGACAGTTATCACGCCCATTGAAGCCTAAAACTTTACGTCCCCCCTAATTATTTTCATTGCATGGATCTCTGAGGTCCATCAACAGGACCTCTGAGCAGCTGCAAGGCTGCATAGCTTAGAGGTGTTCTGACATGTTCTGATGAAGGGTCCCGACCCAAAATGTCGATTTTCCTGTTCCTCTGATGCTGCTGGACCTGCTGTGTTCCTCCAGCTCCACACTGTGTTGTTGACTGCATAGCTTAGAGTGCCTGTTGTTCAGATTACCATGGATCCAGGCAGAGGTGGGAAGGGTTTGTAGGGTAGGGTCACAGGGACACAGCATATAACATGCCAACATAGTGAGCACTGGGCCTATAGAAAGTCAGACTGAAGAATGAAAATGGAAAATAATAAAATGACAGATGAATTGAATGGGTACTTTGCATCAGTCTTCACTATTGAGGAGGCAAGCAATAACCCAAAAACAGCAAAAAATCAGAAAAAGGATGGTCGGGAGAGATGGACTCAGGAAAATCATAATCACAAAAGAAGTGATACTGAGTAAATTGTTGAAGCTGAGGGCTGACAAGTGTCCAGGTCCTGATGGTGGTCATCCTAGGGTCTGAAAAGAAGTACCAGTGAGATAGTTGATGCATTGGTTTTAGTTTTTCAAAACTCACTTGATTCAGAGATGGTCCCATTAGATTGGAAAATAGAGAATGTAACTCCTTTAACCAAAAACGGACAGAGACAGGAAGCACAAAACTACAGATCAATTAGTTTCATATCTGTCACAGGAAAAATGTCAGAAGCGTTATTAAAGATGTTATAGGAGGGCACTTGGACAAGTTCAATGTAATCAGGCAGAGTTAAAATGGTTTTGTCAAAGGGAAATCATGTTTGATCAAACTATTTGAATTCTTTGAGGAAGTAACATGTGTTGTGGACAATGGGGAACTGGTGGATGTACTATATTTAGATATCCAGAAGCCATTTGATAAGGTGACATATTATGTTGCAGAAAACAACAGCTCATCGTGTAGAGGGTACATATCAGCATGGATAGAAGATTTGCCAATTATCAGGAAACACTGTAGCTATAAATGGTTCTTTCTCAGTTTGGGAAGGTGTAGTGAGTGGTGTATTGCAGGGATCAGTGCTGGGACCTCAAGGTGGCACATGGATGAAAGGATGGAAGATTTTGTTGCCAAATTTGCAGATGACACTAAAATAGGTAGGAAAGTAAATTGTTAGGAGGACATAAAAAGACTACATAATGCTATAGGGCTGAATCTTATATTCTGGTTAAATCCAAGTTACATCAAGTTTTTGGAGGGTTTTCCACTGTGAGGTATAGCGCATTTTCTCACTGAATTTTACCAAACCCACCTTATTAACTATCTACTTGTCTCTTTGTCATCCATCAAGTCCAATTCTGGCCTTATCTTAACATGAGCTGTTCCCAGAACAATTTATTACTCAGTAGATATCACAAAATTCATTGGCATCCCCTGCATTTGTATGATCTTTAAAAGTATGTTGTAATATGTGGCAAGCACTGCCAGTCTGAAGCTTCACTGCATGGTCTCTGGCATTTGCCCTGGAAGTGGCAACTATTTGCCAGCCTCTCTGCTCCTATGATGCTGCTTGGAGCCTCTCTGCTCCTATGATGCTGCTTGGCCTGCTGTGTTCATCCAGCCCTGCACCTTGTTGTCTCGGATTCACCAGCATCTGCAATTCCTACTATCTCTATTTGCTAACCTCCTTGGTTTTTATATCAGCTTGTATAGAATGTATCGGTGTTCCAAACACTGGGCAAGCTTTCTTTCCTGATACAACAGTTTAGGTTGGGCTCTTGAGAGCAGTGGTAGCAGCTCTACCTCTAGGCCAGAAGGTCCAGGTTCAAGTCCCAGCTGCCGCAGAGATTCATGAAACATTTCCAAACATGTTTATTGAAAATAATTGCAACAGCTTAATCAGTCTTTGAGCTACAAAAGATACTTTCTAATCAACCTGTTCAGAGATATCATTACACACCTCTGGAGCAGGTGGGACATGAAATCAGGCCTCCTGGCTCAGAAGCAGGGACACTACCATTATGGTAATGTCCATTTTTACATTAGCATTCAGAGGTGTGAACTATTAGGTAGGCACAGCTGTTTCTGTCTGAAACAAACCAAGTAATTAAGATGCATATTGTAAAATAACAGGCTCAGAACCATCAGCAAGCACTGGGAAAATGCCCTGTGAAAGTTTTAGTTTTAAGACTGTGTTACGGGCTCTGTTTCTTCTTTAAAAAATTACCTAATTTCCACAATCATTGCGAGCTGAACCATACAGAGGTTATTGACAAAGTGAAGGCAGGCAACGTGAAAATGGGTCTGCATTTCTCATATGTTATTCCCACAAACAAAACATGGTGTACAGAGTATAGAGTACAGTGCTTTGGAGTCTTACTGGTTGCAAGTACGTCCCTCCATATTTGGTCTGCACTGACAGGTCCCTGACAACATGTTGCATGTTAGATTAGTAGAACCTCCAATGTCACATTGGCAGCCTATCAGTAGAACAAGAGAAATGATTAAGAAATTATCATTTCAAGCAACTTCTAATTATGTAAGTGCAAATCTGAAATAAAAACAGAAATTGCCAGAAACATTGAGCAGGTCAGGCTGCATTGTAGACAAAATGGAGACGAGCTTAAAACTAGGAGATACTTCCTCTTGGGACCAGATTGTTTTTGTCTAGCATAATAATATTCTCTCAGCTCACTGCGCATGTGTGCACAGTTAACAGCCGGACAGGAAGTTCTGCTAAGACTTTCTGGGCTCCAATTTCCTGGCACCATAATTAAAAGGTACCCAAACAGCACATCACTTTGTATAAGGTACATCACTCAATCTCTGCTCATCAACAATGTCCCCATCCACCATCCCCACCTCTGGAGATAATAGAGATCCAGAAAAAAGTGGTGTCATACTTTAGCAACACCTCCCTAGAGGTTCATCTTCAGGCTGTTATGGAGAGATGGGAAGCAACAAGAGGTCACCCCAAGTGACAAAGGTAGCATGTACGGAGGCAGCTTTGGGGTCAGCACCCACGGGCAGCCCAAGAGAACATGGCTCCAGTGCTGTAAGAAGGTGAATGATCTGCTGCACTCCCCCAGTGTATATACCACTGTCCACTCAATGCTTCTTGTCCCTCTGAGTGTGAGTTAGCATTTCAAAGAAGCAACTGCAGAGGACTGTCACACTCCACATTAGACTCCAGACATCTCCATCAGACGTCTCAAATGCAATCAATGTCTGTCATTTTTTTATTCATTCACTCATGGGATGTGTGCATCACTGACTGGCCAGCATTTATTGTCCAAACTACTGTAACTTTATCAGGTAAGATAAAGTTGCCATAGTCTTAATAGACCATCATGGTAACCTCAGCTAGTGCAGGAATTGTTGACATCACTCTGCCTTACAAACCAGCCGTCCAGCCAACTGAGCTAGTCAACTTCATTGGACCACAGAGGTACTTCCTCATAACCAACTGCCAGGGTCACACGTAAAACATAAAACGGCCTACAACACATGGAAGTTCACACACCATCAGCTCACTCACTTTTTGGTGCAACTAGTTGAACATATACATCTGATAACTTCTCACCAATGGCTTGCATGGCTCAAAGACCTCACCAAATGACATGGCTTTGGGTCAAACACCTTACAGATTTCCCAGGCATTCACATCATATAATGCTTTATTGATTTGCATCAATTGCAATTCTTCGATGACTCCAAATCAGCATTCAATCAGAACCCTCGGGAGATGATGACCTAGTGGTATTATCACCAGACTATTGTAGCGATTGGAAGGAGCCATTAACTGAGCTGTGATGAACTTTGCCTTAATTGTACTTTTCTTTGTTATTATGTATGACTTCTATCATCTATGTTGGTGGCGTGGTGGGGCAACTTATAAAACTTTTCACTGTATTTTTCATGTAAAAGTACATGTGAAAATAAATTTCTATTCTGTTCTGTTCAGATGGTACAGTTTGAATTCAATAATAAAAATCTAGAATTAAGTGCCTGCAGATGATCATGTAACCATTGTAGGTTAAAAAAAATACACAGGGAAGGAAACTGCTGCCCCTATTTGGTCTGGTCTATATGTGACTCTACACCCACAATGACGTGACTGACTCTTCACAATCCTCTTGGCAATTAGGACTAGGCAATAAATGCTGGCCTAGCCAGTGATACCTGCATCCTATGAATGAATATTAAAAAAAAATTAAAAATGGACAATCACAGCTCTGTTGATTGACATTTCTATCTGTATGTATGAGTGCTGGCATAGTTCCCATTTACTCATGCTAATGTCCCTTAATAGTTGTGGTTGTGCACATTATTGCAAACGTGCCCAGCCAGGGCAGAGGGAGAATGGCACAGAATGACATGAGGCTCATCATCTACATTGAGGCTTAGTTCACCAAGCTGGCAGGAGAGCAAGGGGAACGTATGCTGGTGAATGAGAAACTGGATATCTATAGCCATCTAGTGCACATCAAGCAGCAACATCACAATAAAACATTGGATATGGGTGACTGCCAGGGTGGCACCAAGACATAGCAAAAGAAAGATTAAAGAACATTGAAGTCATTTCGGGTACACAGTTACAAAATTACAATTGACATAAACACAGCACTTTGTATGACAGTCCTGTGGTCTCATTCAATCCGTTAAGACTCTGAATATATATATTTTCCTTGTAGATGACCTTGATACATTAACGATTTGGACAAAGGAGCTGAGGGCATTTTTGCCAAGATGCAGATGACACATAGATAGATGGAGGGACAGGTAATGTCGAAGAAGCAGGGAGATTGCAGAAGGACTTGGACAAGCTAGGAGAGTGGGCAAAGAAATGGCAGATGGAACACAATGTGGGAAAGTGTGAGGTTATGTACTTTGGTAGAAAGAATAGAGGAAAAGACTATTTTCTACATTCGCAAATCTGTGGTTTTTAAAGTTATAAACCCTTGAGGGCAACAATGCTTCTGCACCACAATTGGCTCATAGCACGGAGTACCTACATATGTTAATATAAAATAACTTGGCATCCCATTTAGCCAGTGTCAGGTTCTCTTGGGCCAGTCTGCCTCATCTCAGTACTGCCTTTGCTTCATCAGCATCACAGAACATAGAATAGTACAGCACAGGAACAGGCCCTTTGGCCCACCACGTCTGTGCCAACCATGATGCTAGTCTAAACTAACCCATCTGCCTGCATGTGGTCTGTATCCCTTTATTCTCAGCCTATTTTTGTGTCTGTCTAAACTTTCCTCTTAAACTTTGCTATTGGTCCTGCCACCTCTCCTGGCAGCACATTCCTGGCACCTACCACTGTTGATAAAAATCTTTCCTCACATACCTTTAAATTTTCCCCCTCTCCCCTTAAATCTATAGGCCCTATTATTTGACATTTCTACCTTGTGCATGTCTCTCATAATTTTATATACTTCGATCAAGTTGACCCCTTAGCCTCCGGTACTTTAGCGAAAACAATCCAAGATTGTCCAACCTCTCCTTATAGCTAATACACTCCAGTCCAGGCAACATCCTGGTAAACCTCTTCTGCACCCTCTCCAAAACCTCCACATTTTTCCAATAGCATGACGACAAGAACTGCACAAATGTGGCCTGACTGCAGTCTTAAGCAGTTTCAACATGACTTGCCAACTTTTATACTCAGTGCCCCAACCAATGAAGGCAAGCATGCTGTATGCCTCCTTTACTACCTCATCCACTTATGTCGCCACTTTCAGGGAGCTAGGGACTTGCTCCCCAAAATCATTCTGTATGTCAATGCAGCTAAGGTCTGGCCATTTACAGTAAGCTCAACAATAGACCTGGTGCAGGTGGATCAGCCATGAGAAATGCAGGGTTACAGGGTGGGGGTAGGAGGGTGGGATGTCCTCAGAGGGTCGGTGTGGGCTCAATGGGCAGAATGGCCTGTTTCCACACTGTAGGGATTCTATGATCCTCTTCTATTTCACTTAAAGTATTGTGAATCTTTGGAATATTCCACCCCAAATGTCAGCAAACTAAACTTAAGGTCGAAATACTCAGAATTGAAGATGATAGTGGGAAGGTGAAATTGATGAAGGCATTCAGCCATGCTCAAAATGAATAGTGAAATATGCAAAGGGGTCCATTTGGCCTGCTCCAGCTCATATTTTGTATATGAGTTTACAGAGAGTTTTTAGTTTGATCTGTATTGTCCAGTATTTTGAGGATGATTATGACGAGACATCACATATCATATCACAAAATAAAATATTTATACTAATTCAGTTTTACCATAATATTTGGACTTACCTTGACAACCAAAATAGTGCCTCTCTTCTAAAGCATAGTGTCCTTCCTTACACAAATCACAGAGCTCATCACATACGTTAGATTTACAGTAGCAATGGCCATCATCCTGAAATATTTAAGTCACAGATAAAGATGAAAACAAAACCACCCTGGGCAAAAATAGATCCTGATCATTGTTTTGCTTATCCTGCAATTTCTTCTGAATGCTCACCTGATTGCATTCTCCAATCCCACTAATTGTGCCAATCACATTACAGCGACATTCTGCAATATCAAAAATAGCCTGGGATCAGCTTATTTGAGATCTACATTCACTCCCAGTTAGAAGTGACAACACAACGTAAAAGAATTTCTTCACAGAATGATACAATATGGGGCGAGGCTAATTGGCCCATTGCTCCAGTGCTGGCACTTTGAAAGAACTATCCAATTAACCCAATCTGAGAAAAGAAATTCCTCTTCATCTCAGCCTTAAATTGGTGTCCATTTCATTTTTAGTTTCATTGGAAATGTCAGTGAGTATATTCCACATCAATCAAGTTAAAACTACTGATATCAGTTAATAATTATTGAAATGTATCAGGTGTATTTATTGCTAAATATCTTATAAGTGCAGAGCTGGTGCACCAGAGAATGAATAAATTCATAAGGTCGAAACCCTTTCAACGATGTAAGGAAGACAGAAATTACTTACCACTGCAACCATCAGGATTCTCCTCAGCCAGGTTCCAGTAGAGTGACTTGCATTGATCACATTTAGACCCCTTGACATTTGCCAGGCACTGACAGAAACCCTGTTCAACAGGAAGGTTACAGAAAACATACAAAAGCTAGAATGCAGTTTGTAAACCAACTTGTTCTGTTGCACATGAAATAATGGGTGCAGTCCTCTTCACACTTTAGCCTGCTGTTAGTTATTTACATTTTCCCAAGATGGAGCCGTGGCCTAATCTATTAAAATAATATACTGCACGCCAACTTCCTTCCAATTTGAATTCACAAATTTAGTATCTGGGTATAAATTGGGGGATTGCCATCTCTGATTGGGCATATTTCTGGATTTCATCGAAGGGCATTCTGCCTCAATGCTGCTTTTGGTCAATTGACACATTCACACTTGCAGTGCCTGACCAATTACTAGGCATTGTTCAATTGGGTGATTCTGCACAGCCAGTCAAAATACAAGTCCTCCTGTGCTGATATTTTTATAAACTAAAAATAAAACTGTTCAATCCAAACAGAAACACAGAATATTTCTTAAATAGTGAGAGGTTTGAATGTCAGGGTGTTCAGAATGATCGAGGTATCCTTGACCAGGACAACCAGAAGTCAGACTCCAGCATCAGCAGTTCCTACAATCTCTCAGTATTTTCATTTACCCACCACAGTAAATCATTTCAGTCATATTCCTTCAGGATCTCACATGACAATGCCTACGTCTGTTTCGACAGCTTGCTTTTCCTGGAGCAGTTCACTAGTCTCTCAACAGAGCCTGTATCCCAAGGGGTACCATCGTACATCAATCATGGCTGACCAGGAGACTTTCCTGCTCTTGCCGCTGGCTTGAGGTGTAATGGATGGATTTGCAGGTTGATAATCAGCTTGCTTCAACCTGTTATTTGCTAGCCAGCACAATGGATCAGTGGTTAGCACTGCTACCTCTCAGCACCAGGGACCCGGGTTCAATTCCACCCTCAGATGACTGTGTGTGGAGTTTGGACATTCTTCCCGTGTCTGCGTGGCTCCCCTCTGGGTGCTCTGATTTCCTCCCACAGTCCAAAGATGTGCAGACCAGGTGGATTAGCCATGGGAAATTGTCTGTAGTGTTCAGGGATATGTGGGTTATGGGGGATGGGTCTGGGTGGGATGCTCTGAAGGTCAGTGTGGACTTGTTGGGCTGAAGGGCCTGTTTCCGTACTGTAGGGATTCTATGATTACCAAGTAGGTGCAGCAAGCAATCAGAAAAGTAAATGGTATGTTGGCATTCATTTTAAGAGGATTTGAGTACAGCAGTAAAGGTGTCTCACCGTAGTTGAATAGACACTTGGTAAGACCTTAACCTGGAGTGAGTCTCAGTCTCCTTATTCAAGGAAGGAGATACTTGGCACAGAAAGAGTGCAACAAAGGTTCACAGATTAATCCTTCACAGTGGGTTGGCTGAAGAGAAAATGGAATCTCACAGAGTATGACAAAGTGGAGAGAGATCATAGGAACTGCAGATGCTGGAGAATCTGAGATAACAAGGTGTAGAGCTGGATGAACACAGCGGGCCAAGCAGAAATGTCTGAAGAAGGGTCTAGGCCCAAAACGTCAGCTTTCCTGTTCCTCTGATGCTGCTTGGCCTGCTGTGTTCATCCAGCTCTACACTTTGTTATCTATGACAAAGTGGATATAGATAGGAACAAAAACAAAGTTGCTGGAAAAGCTCAGGAAGCCTGGCAGCATCTGTGAAGAAAAAGTCAGAGTTAAAGTTTCGGGTCCGGTGACCCTTCCTCAGTGCTCTAATTTTAAGGTGAAAGGCAGGCGGTTTAGAGGGGATTTGAGGAAATGTTTATTCACCCAGAACGTGGTGTAAGTCTGGAATGCGCTGCCTGGGAAGATAGTTGAGGCAGGTAACCTTGCAACCTTTAAAAAGTACTGAGATGAACACTTAAAATGCATTAAGAGTCAAGGCTATGGGCCTAGAACTGGGACCAGTATAGATTTAGTTTACAGATTTGATGGGCTGAAGGGCCTCTTCTGCACTGTAGGATTCTAACCAAGGTAAGGGTAAGATTTGCACGGTCAGGAAGAAGCGATCACATCCAGAGTGAGACAGAGCCTGAGATAAACTGAATCCTAGGATTAGGGGCCCAGCACGAAAGAGAGACATCCTGGGAAAACCCTAAGTTTAATGGTTAGTGACAGTAACTAATTTGGCTATCTATTATAGGTTATTTTTAGAAAGAAGGTAATTAGGGGAAATATTTACAGGTTACAAACTAAAAGACCTGTAGGAAATTTTTAAAAATAAAATTAAGAACTAAGTAAATAAAGTAGAGGTGCCAGGCCAGGTGACATGTTGCACCAGAGCCTATAGGTGTGAGGCTGGAAAAGCACAGCAGTTCAGACAGCATCAGAGGAGCAGGAAAGTCAACATTTCGGGCCGAAACCCTTCAGGGTTCTGGCTTCCAGCATCTGCAGTCCTTATTGTCTCCATGTCATTGATGTGTTGTACCTGCATGATGTGGAAGCTGGTGGACTCCATTGTGGTTCATTGTGACCACATCTGCAGCAAGTGTTGGTTACTTGAGAAACTCCGGCTCAGGGTTGAGGAGGTGGAGTCTGAACTTCAAACACTGCAACACGTTAGGGAAGGGGTTATCTGGCTGCAGTGTTTCAGGAGGCAGTCACCCCACCTTAGATTAACTAACTTGAATTTAATCAGTGGTCAGGGACAGAAGGGTGTGATCACAAGTGAAACAGGTAGAGGGATCCAGGAGATAACACTGAAGTAGCCTCAGCCCTTGAGTTGTCTATTGCTTCCTATGTGGATGAGAGTGGGGGCTGCAGGGAGGATAAGCAAACTGACCATAGCACCGTGGTACAGGGAGCCATTTCAGAGCAGGGAGAAAAGAGAAATGTAGCTATAATCGGGATCAGTGTAGTCAGGGAATAGACACTCTTCTCTGTGGCCAGGATCAATATTCATGAAGACTGTGTTGCCTGCCTGGTGCCTGGGTTCAGGGTATCTCAGTTCTGAGGAAGGGTCACCGGACCCGAAACGTTAACTCTGTTTTTTCCTTCACAGATGCTGCCAGACTTGCCGAACTTTTCCAGCAACTTTGTTTTTGTTCAGGATATCTCAACTGGGCTGCAAAGAAACTTGGAGTGAGAGGGGTAAGATCCAAGTTGTTGTGGTCCACAGAGGTACCAACGATATAGGGCAGAAAGAGGAAAGAGGTTCTGCTGAGGGAAAGTTTTGCTAAATTAAAAAGCAGAACGAAAACGGTAATAATCTCTGAATTACTACCTGAAACTTGACAAATTGGCACATGGTCAACCAGATTAAAGAGGTAAACATGTGGCTTAAAGATTGATATAGGAAAAACAGGTTCAAATTCATGGGACATTGTCACCAATACTCTGGAAGGAGGGAGCTGTTCCAATAAAATGGGCTCCATCTGAATAATGCTGGGACCACAGTCCAGGTGAATCATGTTACTAAGACTGTGGATAGGGCTTTAAACTAAATAATGAAGAGGTATGGGTTCAGTTGCATGGAAAGTTTTGGAAAAACATTTAAAAAGTGGAGGGTTCAGCAAAGGTTATTAAAGTTTCCAGAACAAGTAATAGGACAGAATGTATGGGAAGGGTCAGGAACAGGTGCAGCAGATAAGGGGACAACTGTGAGAAAGGTGGCAGTCAACACAGGACTCAGGGTGCTGTAATTAAATGCTCGCAGTATACAAAACAAGGTAAATGAGCTTGTAGCACAGATTGAAATTGGTAGATATGATGTTGTGGGTATCACAGAGATGTGGCTGCATGGGATTCAGGGCTGGGAATTAATTATCGAAAGATATATGTCCTATTGAAAGGACACACGGATGGGCAGAGGGGGCAGGGCTGCCTTATTAGTAAGAAATGAAATTAAATTGATAGCAAGAAAATATAGAGGCAGAAGGTATAGAAACTGTGGGGGTAGAGTTGAGGAACTACAAAGGAAAAACCACCCTGATGTGAGTTGTGTACTGATGTCCTAGCAGTAGACAGGATATGGAAAAGATAATAAATCACAAGATAGAAAAGGCACATAGGAAAGGCCCTATTAGAATAATCATGGGGGACATCAATATGCAAGTGGAGTAGGAAAATCAGGTTAGTAGTGGATCTCCGAGATGGATTTTTTTGGAGCAGCTTGTAGTAGAGTCCATTAGGGAACAGGCAATTCTGGATGTGCAATGAGGCAGACTTGATGAGGAAGGGCCCCTGGGGACAGTGACCACAATGTGATAGAATTCACCCTGCAGTTTGAGAGGGAGAAGCTGGATCAGATGTAACAATATTACAATCAAATGAAGATAACTACAATGACATGAGGAAGGAGCTGGCCAGAGTAGATTGGAAGGGGAGCCCAGCAGGGAAGACAGTGGAGCAGCAATGGCAGGAGTTTCAAGCCTTTAAAAACCAGTACAGGATAACTTACAAAGCAATAAGGGTGGGGGCGGGGGGGGATTGTGGGGAGTGGGAAGTTGGAGAACAAGTAACAGAGAAGCAAGAGTAGACATTGGACCACCAGAAAATGAGGCTGGAACAGAGAAATGGCAGAGGAACTAAATCAGCACTTTGCATAAGTTTTCACAGTGGAAGACGCCAGCGGCATATCAGAACTTCAAGAGAGTTGGGAGGGTGAGGTGAGTATTGTGGCCATCACTAAGGAAAAAGTGTGGGTGAAGCTGAGAAGTCTGCAAGTATATAAATCATCCGGACTAGATAGACTACACCCCAGAGTTCTGAAGGCGAAAGCTGAGGAGAATGCAGAGGCATTGATGGTGATCTTTCAGGAATCATTGGAGTCAAGGAGGTCCCAGAGGACTGGAAAATTGTAAATGTAACACCCTGTTTAAGAAGGGAAGGAGGCAGAAGACAGAAGTCTCTAAGCCAGTTAGTCTGTCCTCAGTCATTGGTAAGATTTTAGACTCCATTATTAAGGATGAGATTGCTCAGTACTTGGAAATGCATGGGAGAATAGTACAGCTTTGTTATGGGGAGGTCATGTCTGACTAATCTTTTAGTATTGTTTGAGGAGGTACCAAGCAAATTAGACAAAAGAGACCCAATGGATGTGATCTATTTGGATTTCCAGAAGGTCTTTGACAAGGTGCTGCATAGGAGGCTGCTAAATAAGAGGAGTCCATGGTGTTAAGAGGAAAGGTACTGGCATAGATAGAGGACTAGCTGACTGGTAGAAGGCAGAACGCAGGGATAAAGGAGTCTTTTTCAGTATGGCAGCCTGATGATTAGCGGATTCCACAGGGGGCCGTGTTGGGACCACAACTATTCACGTCATACATTAATGATCTGGACAAAGGAACTAAGGGCATTGTTGCTAAGTTTGAAGATGACACAATGATAGGTGGAGAGACAGCTAGTGTTGAGGAAGCAGAGAGGCTGCAGAAGGACTCAGACAGGCTAAGGGAGGGGGCAAAGAAATGGCAGATGGAATACAATGTGGGAAATTGTGAAATTATCCACTTTGGTAGGAAGAATGAAGGTGTAGACTACTTTCTAAACAGGGAAAGACTTCAGAAACCTGAAGCACAAAGGTACTTGGGAGTCCTAGTTCAGGATTCTCTTATGGTTAACATGCAGCTTGAGTTGGCAGTTAGGAAGGCAAGTGCAATGTTAGCATTCATTTTAAGAGGGCTAGTAAACAACAGCAGGGATGTACTGCTGAGGCTGTATAAGGCTCTGCTCAGATCGCAATTGGAATATAGTGAGCAGTTTTGGTGCCTATATCTAAGGAAGGATGCGATGGCCTTGGAAGGGATCCAGAGGAGGTTTACCAGAATGATCCTGGGAATGAAGGGCTTGTCGTATGAGAAACGTTGAGAACACTGAGTCTGTACTCAATGGAGCTTAGATGGAGGAGGCAGGATTTGATTGAAACTTACGGAATACTGAGAGGCCTAGATAGAGTGGATGTGGAGAAGATGTTTCCACTAGTAGGTGAGGCTAGGAACTAAGGGCACAGCTTCAGAGTGAAGGAGGAATTTTTTTCAGCCAGAGGGTGGCTAATTTGTGGAACTCATTGCAGCAGAAGGCTGTGAGGAACAAGTCATTGAGAACATTTAACACAGAGAGACAGATAGGTTCCTGATTAGTTGGGGGATCAAGGGTTACAGAGAGAAGGTAGAAGATATGTTGAGAAACATATCAGTCCTGATCGAATGGCAGAGCAGTCTCAATGGACCAAATAGACTAAATCCGCTCCTATATCTTATGATTTTCTGGTCGTGGTGCACCAGACCATACGACTGCTCTCTCATTAGGGAGAGAGATGACTGGTTATGTTTTAACTTGAGGGTCACCACACTGAGACAAGGAGAGAAATTGAGAAAGAGAGTCCTTCATTGTAACCTCAGGTGGTGCAGGAATTGAACCCATGTTGTCGGTGTAACTCTGTATTGAAAACCAGCTGCACTGCCAACTGGACTAGCCGACTCCTCTACTCAAGAAGGCGATGAAAGCTCAATGATTGAGCAGGTTCAAGATAGAAATTGATAGATTTCTGGAGACTAATGACATTAATGAATTTGGAGATGATGCTAGACAATGGCATTGAGGAGACTTTGAGTTAAAATCCTGGAATTCCCTCCTTAATTGCATTGTGGACTGCACAGGTTCAAGAAGGCAACCCACCAACATCTTCTCAAGGGCAACTATGGACAAGCAATAAGTGCTGGCCCAGCCAGCAACACCTACATCCCACAAAATGATCTTAACAAAAAGAGATGATCAGCAATCATTTACAATGGCAGGGCTGCCCCGATAAGCCACATAACTTTCTTCTGTTCTTATGTTCCTATCCTTGACTGCAGTTGAGCTGAGTGGCTTAGTAAACCATTTCGAAGGGCAGTTCAGAGTCAAGTACATTGCTGTGGATCTGAAGTCATATACGAGTTATATTTGCTTCCCAAATGCACTGGTGAACCTGATGGGCTTTTAATAATAACTGGCAATAGGTTCATGGTCACTTGGCTTTCAAATCCAGATCCTATTATTAATTGAATTTAAATTCCACCAACTGCTGTGGTGGGATTTGATCTCACGTCCCAGAACAAGAGCCTAAATTTATTTAGATTGCTAGACTACTGAGGTTACCACGACACCACAATCTGTCCCTGCAATGATACTGAGTTGGCACTGGTATAGGGCATCAGCAGTCACAATATACAGGAGCTTTACTTGTAACACACCTGCCAGAGTTCCCTGAGTCAGTATGAGCTCATGGATTGTGAATGGAAAAATCCATCCAGTGGAAGTGTGTCATCTCTGAGAACTTTGAGCACATGATCAGCCATTATTGTATTGAATAGTGCAGCAGACTCCAAAGGAGCATTTGCTTTACCCCTGCTCCTAATTTTTACGAGCTCCTCCAATGATAGTCATACATGTTTGTACCTGGAGTTTTTGTTGGAGCAGTGCACTCACATGTGCAGCATGTCCACACAATGCCAGGAGGCTAATGGTTCCTTAACTGGCAAAGTTCTTCACGTTGACTCTTTCCTGGTGTAGGGTGGGATGCTGCCACATTTCCTTTAAAAAGACAAGCTCTTTGCACAGTGATCAGCTTTTAGGCTTTTACCTCCCTAAACATTTCTTGCCTCATTGACTCAAATGAGACTTGATCGATGAGACAAACAGCTGGCTGCTCCCACAAAATATCGAGACAGGTAAAAAATCAGTAGTTTAACAGCTTTAATTAGTTTTAACATGGGTGTGGAGCGGGTTTCATGCCTTCATCATGTCCAGTGTTATGAAAGGAGGCAGGAAGTTGTCATGTATGATGTCAGTGGCATTTTCTTTGATTGTCTACCTTCATTCAGACCCATTCCTGGCCCCTGCACTGTGCCTGTGAGTGTTCCAACAGCAAGCAGATACATAACTTACAACTCAAAAGCTCTTGTGTTAATAATATTCAGATTCTTGCCTCCATACAGAAGTCTGCTGTTTTTTCATAATCACAAGTGCTTACTTAAAAATACATTTGTGTGAATCATTATGAATATGGTCTTATGCAGTTGGACCTGAGCCAAGCAGAAATCAGGGACGTGGAAGATCCTTGGGAGCTGTAACCATTGGCAACAGTCCATTAGCTCTCAGCATGGGGCAGGTCTCTTGCAACAATCCAACTCACATTTTCGCCAAAAATACATTTCATTCTCATGTAGTTCAGCTTCAAAAGCACGACAAATACTTACAAACTGGGATGGAGGATCATGTTTCACTGTGCCAGCTGAATTGCAGTCAGTAACTGTAAAGAATACAACATATTAGGTACAGAAAGATTCAACAATATTAAATATCTTATTACACATGTTAAATATCACATCAAACCTCTTACTTTGCAGACATAATAGAAACATACAATATAGCTGCTGAAGTGACCATTTGGCCCATCAGGCCAGCTCCACTCTTCAATATGATCATGAATGAACCTTTATCTCGACACCATATCCAGTTTTGTTGTATAATGGTGATTACATCTTTGTCACATGACAGAAACATGTAGGTCATTCAGCATCTCAGGACTATACCGTCATTCAGTTACATTTTGGTTGGTCTGTATCTGAAGTCCAATTACCGTTCTTGGTTTTGTGACACTCACCAAACAAAAACCAATCAATTTCAATTTTGAAACTTTCAATTAACATGGAAATATAGAAAATAGAAGCAGGTGTAAGCCATTCAGTCCTTCAAGCCTGCTTCGCCATTATATGTGATCATAGCTGATCATCCAACTCAGTCTCCTGTTCCAGATTTCATCCCAAAGCCTTTGCTCCCTTTAGCTCTAAGAACTAGTGGTGATGTTAGCAACTGTAGTGAAATTAGAGATGGTGGTGATGTTGGTGACAGTGGTGATGTTAGCAATGGTAGTGACGTTAGTGACGGGGCTGATGTTAGTGATGGGAGTGATGTTAGTGACAGGGGTGATGTTGGTGATGGCGGTGATGTTAGCGATGGGGTGATGTTAGTGACGGGGGTGATGTTAGTGATGGGGGTGATGTTAGTGACGGGGGTGATGTTAGTGA